AATTAAAAGAATGGGCCTTTAAGCTTCTGTACCTGATTCAACACATTAATTCAGTCTTGTATTGGCTTTATGCAAGGCAAATACAACTATGAAAATGAATGAACAACAACAACAACAAAAAACACCTCTTTAACAAAAAAGAAAAATCTGCATAGATGCTCAAACTTGAAATTGCAGTAGGTACCCCCAAAAAAGCATCTTACCTGTTCAGCTGTCTTGGAATATATATAAGGTATCACAGACAGCAAGAGGTGGAGGCACCAGTCCTTGAAAAAGTCCATGGAGTGCTAAACCCAACCAGCAGGCAAGGACACCCACTCAATGATGCCCCAAACACCGCACTGCTCCCCAAGGTCCCAAAATTACACATAAGCACTGGGCTGTAACTTAATGATTGCAACAAAACCCACAATTATTTTTGCCCAGAATTTAGAATTGGCTTCTAAATTTTAGAGAAGGAAAATTTGGAAATTTATGCGCCAGTCATTTTATAATTTTCCCTGGCAAACTAGTAAGCTGGCAAATTAGACATAATTGTGTAGTTGATTTCATTTGCCCAGAATTATTAGGCTCAGCAATCCTCTTTGGGGCAATCAAACCTTCCTTCCTCAAGCCAACAAACACTATTAGTGCTTAATTATGTCATGTATCCACATACATTTAAAAAGGGAAGAAAATGATATAAAAAATGGTGATTTAAGTTTTTTAAAAATGTCTCTAAAAAGATTTATTTCATTATTGTACATAACAAGAGCTTTGTCTTCTTAGAATGTTTAAAAATATTTACTCCCAATAAATCCTACACAAATATAAAAGTATATATTTATTCATGTAGCACTCCCTATGTCCTGTGAAGTAGTACATGTTTTTATTTCATCATTAACATCTGAAAGCAACCGCAACAGAAGTAAAAACTTAAGGTCAAACTAATATTAAAATTTATAATGTGAGTTGGGGGTCAATGTTTGACTCACATAAGACTCCTTTTCTCAAAAGAGGAATAATAGTGAGGGGTCCAAGACTGCCTTGTTTATAATGCAAAATAATTATCAGCTGTCATAACACCGCCACCAATCTGCTTAAGCCCTAGTAGATGTCGGTTTACTACGAGATATTAGCATGCCCTTTCCACTGAAACTGAACCAGTCCAGGCTGGTGAAGCACTGAGCTACATTAACTTACTTAATAACCAGGTTCTCCACTGAGGTATTGTTAGCAGTAGCATAGGCTAAGGTCCATATCAGGACAGCTTGCTCTTATCAGTTGTTTGCATTAAAACTGACCACACTGTCAAACAGCACTGACTAAGTATTCAGGCATCCAAAATTTATATTAATAACAATAAGCTAACATTTAGTTAACATTTATTAAATGCCAGGTACTCTAACAGCTAGCAACAATCCCATAAGGTAAGAAATATTACTATTGCTGTTTTATTTTATTTCTTTCTTTATTTATTTTTGGTGGTTAATCCTCCAAGGATATTTTTCCATTGACTTTTAGGGAGAGTGGAAGAGAGAGGGAAAGACAGAGAGAAACATTGATTGGTTGCCTCCTGCACATGCCCCAACCAGGGCCCTGGCCAGGGAGAAGCCTGCTGACTCTCTATCCATTGTGCCAAACCGGCTAGGGCACTATTGCTGTTTTAAACACGTGGAAAATTACGGCCCAAAGAATTAAGTTACTTTGTGGTCACAACTAGTAAACGGGGAAAGCTGAAATCTCAACCAAGTCTGGCCCCAAAAGTAATATAAACAATAATGATGAAGACAAGCATATGTAATAACAACACAACTCACTAATGGATATGTAGATAACAACAAATTAAATATCCCCATTGTTATAAGCATTACATAACTGACTCCCAAGGAAGAGTGAAATGACAGGCTGCATGGTTGAACTGTTTGAGAGCGAAGGGTAGAGAGGAGAACCTGAATACCTTCAATTTATGAGTGAAAGCTGGGTAGAAAAAGCAAAATTACAAAAACGTGTTAAATAACAAACTGAAAATGGGTGGTAGAAGAAATCTGTGAGTTAATAACACTGAGCTGTCTTACAACTAGCAAGAAGATGATCTGATGAAAAAAACTCACAGATTTTTCTGAGTGATTCGAAGTAACATAAATAGATGAAGAAAAGCACATAATCCCAGGTTGTGCTTGTGAATGGTTCCAAAAAGGAAGCTGCGGCTTCACTTGATGTGCCCAGTGACAGAAGCTGGTGGAGAATTTAAGAGGGTGGTAACAGATGCAGTCAAAAATGGCAGAAAAGAAAATGACCTCAGCTACAAGCAAGATTCTCAGGTCAAAGAATCACACCTATTGATGAAGTAAGAAATGCCGGTGAGCAGGAATTCAACAAGAACAGGAACCACAGCCTGCAGGGTCACAGAGAAGCCTACAATAGGAAGCCAAAACATAAGCCTAGAACAAACCAATATGAAGGCATCATTTAACTGAGCAAAAATAACCAACACTTAAGCTCGCGAGGCGGAGACCACTGCACGCGCTCACGTGACTGGGGAATTAACTGATGGCTGGAGGAGCATGGCTGCTTTGGTAACAGGCTCAAACCCTTCAGAAGTTTGCTCAGAAAGGTTAGCTAGGCAACGGGAGAGCTACTATTGCTTGTAATAGAAAGTCTGAGAGTAAAATGGCAGCAATGACTTAAAGGCCAACAAAAATTAAAACACCGTGATTGGCTAGAGTTAGTTTTGAGACTCGTGAGCCAGAGAAGACCTGTATGGCAGCACTTGACAACTTAAATCCCCCCGAGAGACTCCAAAATAAGAACACAAGTGAATAGATACGTTATGTATATTTGCTCTCAAATGGCAATTAAAAAAAAGAAGATCTGTGTATGAGTCTTGTGGGGCATAATTCAAAAACTGTAACGCCAGGATTCTTAACAGCTGGCTCCATCATGGGTCTTTAAAAGAACTACAAGTTCTAAAACAGCAGTTCAGAAATCACCCTAGCACAGAAAGTAATATAATTCCCTTCCCCTTTATTAAATATATTTTTATTGATTTCAAAGAGGAAGAGAAAGGGAGAGAGAAACATCAATGATGAGAATCACTGATCAGCTGCCTCCTGCATGCCCCCCATTGAGGATTGACCCCACAACCTGGGCATGTGCCCTGGACCGGAAATCGAACCGTGATCCCCTGGTTCATAGGTCGATGTTCAACCACTGGGCAACACCAGCCAGGCAATATAATTCCCCCTTTTTTGGGGGGGGTCAATAGATAGAAACTGTTCCATGACTGAGTACAGTGTAAAAGCTAAACCTACCAGAAGGGAAAGCATACTAAGTTAGCAGCGCTCACGAGTGGAGTTTAATCACACCCCATGAATGACTAAGATGGGTCAGCCTGGAGCTGGTTATGATTCCTCAGAGCAAAAATGACATATTCGTATTACAGCTCGATGTCTGTGCTACATGTGCAGACCAGGAATGAAACACTGGACAATACTAGGGGACACCGTCCATTTTGTAGTCTTTGTGGATGGCATCCCTACGGTTGTCTACCAACAGCCTGCCCACCCTAACCCAGCCATACTGGTTCTAGCGGCATTTGGCGCTAAACCGAGACCTTGTGGGTTTATATGATAAACATATCATTCCTTCCTTGTTACCACTTAACTTTAAAATGCCCTAAAACGCCAAAAATATTGTCTGACCCAAACAACTATTTGTTTTATTGAAATAAAAGATAGTTGATGCATTTTTCACATGATCCTGTCATGAGTTAATTTTCCTTTTTATTAACAGAGTAGAGTGAGCTCATGACAACAGTGACAAACAACACCTGATGACTAATGAGACACCCTCGGAAGCCCCAGAAGCGTGATCACCACCACAGAGAAGCTAAGTCCTCACTCCATTTCTGGTGGACAGCAGAGGTTAGTCATCTGTGGCATTTACAGTGACTCTGTGATGAACTCCAATATGTAAACAGAATTCATACTCATTCCCCAGAAGTTAAAGTGAGATTTAGCACAGCCAGGGAATGGAGTCATCTGGTCAGTCTCTTACTGTGCGTCAGCATTTCCCAAAATTTTTTCCATGGAATATTAAGAGGGTGCCATGGCGAGTTTAAAATGCCACAGCTATCCATTGTGGGAGCATCGCTATGCCTATTGGCTTACTAAGGCTCTGAGAAGTCATGCAGTAAAGAAATTGGTTTTGTTAACCTAGTGTATCCCATACTTATTTGTTCACAAAACCTGGTTTTTCGTTTCGTTTGGTGGAACATCAAAGATATGAGAAGAGTCTGGGAAATGCTACTCAAAGATGACCATGGATATATGTATTAATAACTAAAATGTAACAACCAAACTAAAATAAGATTTAGCTGATGATTGCAGAGTACTAAAGGAAACTTTAGTGCAGGGTCAACAAATGTTGGCTGAGAGCTCTACTTGGTAAAAATGACAAGGAAAATACCATTTGCTACATATTCAGGGATGCCAGAAACAAAGGAGAAAAAGCCTATTTTCTGTAGTCCTCACTGTCACTTAGCACACACTTCTCATAAGATGGATAAAAACATATCAATATTTGGGCTGAGAACATTTTAAATGCTCAGTAAGAACAGAAGTGTACTTCTTTTAAAACCAATTTATCAGAAAACAACTCAATGTCTAGGACTTCAGGAGCTCAGAACCTTAACAAAGTCTCTCCTCGTATTACGGACTACATTGGGATTATCTACTGATACCGAGACAATGGCACCTACTGAAGATTATTACAATACTTACCACATTACAAAAAGAATCCAGACCAATGCTATGTACATACTTAGTACATTCTGGATTAGACCAAGTAAAATTTAACAACAAGCTGAACAGCATTCTATAAAACAAAAACAAAAAGTCGGTTAGGCCAATTCTGGCTGTTTTTCTGTGCTACGGACTCACAGTGAGAAAGAAGACTGTCTTGGAATTTGATGACGGAATCAAATCTGAATTCTTTATCTAAAGTTTATCTACATTTACCTTAAAAGAAGTTCTTTTGGTAACTTTTTGTTAATAAGGCCTTCATCATTATTTGAGAAAACCTAAAAGAAAAAAAAAAAAAAGGAAACCCGTTAGTGCTCCTCAATTTTTTTATAAGTTACGTGTTTTTTAGATCAGAACAGCCCCAATTACTGTCCTACAGGTATGATACCAATTTCATGAAGCCACCACACTTCAATATTGATAGCTATAAGAACAGTTTATACCCTTTCACCATTTTTATAAAAATTGCAACATCCATTTCTATATACCTTGTATTGGAGGTTCTAACCAAGGTTATTAGGCAAGAAAATAAATAAAAGGCATCTTGTTGGAAAGGAAGAAGTAAAACAATCTCTGTTCACAGGTAACAATCTTGTATATAGATAATTCTAAAAAAAAAAATCACAGAAAATTCTATCAGAACTAATCAAGGAGTTCAGCAAGGTTGCAGGATACTATATAAAATATACAATATATTTACTATATAAAAATAAATTATATTTCCATATATTAGCAATGAACCACCTGAAACTGACATTAAGAAAACAATCTCATTTACAACAGCATTAAAAAGAATAAAACACTTAAGAATAAATTTAACTAAAGAAGTGCAAGACAGCCCTAGCTGGTTTTGCTCAGTGGATAGAGCGTTGGCCTGTGGACTGAAGGGTCCCGGGTTCAATTCCAGTCAAGGGCACATGCCTGGGTTGCTGGCTCAATCCCCAGTAGGGGGCGTGCAGGAGGCAGCCAATCAACAATTCTCAAACATCATTGATGTTTCTATTTCTCTCTCCCTTCCTCTCTGAAATCATTTTTTTTTAAAAGGGGAGGGGGAGAGTACAAGACATGTTGAAAACTTATATAAAACATTGTTGAGAGAAATTTAAAAAGACAAATATACTCACATCCCATGTTCACAAATTGGAAGATTTAATAGTGTTAAGTTAGCAACATTTCTCAAACTGATCCATAGATTTAATGAAATCTCTACTAAAATGCCAGCTGCCTTTTTATTGAAAAATTTAAAAGCTGATCCTAAAATCAATATGGAAATGCAAGAGACCCAGAATAACCAAAATAAAGTCATGCACTGCCTAACGATGCTTGGGTCAATGAAGTACCACCTATACAACAGTGGTCCCATAAGATCATAATGGAACTGAAAAATTCCCATCACCCTAAGTGATATCACAGCCATCATAACATCATAGTGTGATGCATTACTCATGTCGTTTGTGGTGATGTTAGTGTACAGTGTTTATAAATTGTGGAGGAATTGGAACACTCATACACTACTGGTAGACCCATTTCGGAAAACAGTATGGCAGTTCCTCAAAGGTTAAACATAAAGTTACCATATGAACCAACAATTCCAACCACAGGCAACTACCTAAGAAATAAAAATGTGTCCATACAAAAACTTGTACATGGATGATCATAGCAGCATTATTCATAATAGCCAAAAAGTGGAAATAATCCAAATGTCCATCAGCTAATGAATAAAGTGTGGTATATCCATACAAGGGAAAATTATTCACCAATCAAAAAGAATGAGGTACTAATATATACAACAGAAATGAGCCTTTGAAATATTATGTCACATGAAAGAAGACATAAACAAAAGGCCACATGTCGTATAATTCTGACTCCACAAAACCTTTCCCAGTGACTGCCCTGTTCCACTTCCTTAGACACCTCTGCTTAAGTCCCATTTCTTTCAGAGCCATTCCAGTGCTGGAGTGGCAGTGCTGAGGTAGACAGGACAGGGTAGAGGTGAGACACCAAATGAGGGAGGGAAGGCAGAGGTCAAAGTGTAGTCCAACCCATGGCTGTCCATATCTGAGTTTTCATAGTCTACGGGGATGGGGGTAGTCAAGTAAAACCTGCAGGGTGTCATTAGACATTACAAATAGAGAGTCTGTCATAAAATAAAAAAGGACTTGCTGGTTCAGCTGATAAGACCCTGAGACTCCTAATCTTGGTGAAGTACATCTAAGCCAGGCACTGGGCACAGTCTTTAGTTTGGAGAGAAGCCACGGTATAATGGCTAAGAAGCCAGACTTTGAAGACCAGCTGAGTTCAAATCCTGGCACTGCTACTGGCCAACTATTTGACCTTGGGCAAGTTGCCTAATCAATCTGAGAGTCTTAAATGGGTATAATGTCAATCTTCTAGGGATATTGGAAGGATTAAATGAGATGTGAAGTAATCAGCCTAAAACTAGGCTAGTAGTGAAAGACTCTATGAAAAAGAATTATTGTTACAATTAAGTACTAAAAGTTATGCTGCAATCCCAGTGCAGACAAAAGGGAGACCAAGACTGTCAAGAGTAAAAAAAAAAAAAAATGAATAGAGAAACCTCTTCTTTTCACAATCTATTAATACAGATCTCATTACACAAGCTCTCTTGACTACACGGCAAATAGACCAAAACTGTCCTTAGACGTCAGATATACTTTATTGTAAAGTTTCCCCTCCACCTTGTGCTTCCCAACACCAGCATAGAAAGGAAAGTGCCCAAAAGGGGCGAGTCCAAGAGAATAAATGAAAATGGGAAGACTGTATGATCAAGTATTAAGCACTAACAAAAACTTGATGGCAATAAATATCCTAATGTACATTTTGACCCACATGAATTAAAATTGAAACCATTATTTGATGTCTTTTTGCAACAATTTTAGAACATACAACTCAAACAAATGTAAAAATTACTATTAGAAAAAAACTTGGAAAATAAAATTTTACTTTTTTTAAAAAAATATATTTTATTGATTTTTTACAGAGAGGAAGGGAGAGAGATAGAGTGTTAGAAACATCGATGAGAAACATCGATCAGCCGCCTCCTGCACATCCCCTACTGGGGATGTGCCCGCAACCCAGGTACATGCCCTTGACCGGAATCGAACCCGGGACCCTTCAGTCCGCAGGCCGATGCTCTATCCACTGAGCCAAACCGGTTTCGGCAAATTTTTACTTTTTAAAAGTTTTTTAAAAAATATATTTTATTGATTCCTTACAGAGAAGAAGGGAGAGGGGCAGAGAGTTAGAAACATCGATGAGAGAGAAACATCGATCAGCTGCCTCCTGCACACCCTCTCCTGGGGATGTGCCCGCAACCCAGGTACATGCCCTTGACCGGAATCGAACCCGGGACCCTTCAGTCCGAAGGCGGACGCTCTATGGACTGAGCCAATCCGGTTAGGGCACTTTTTAAAAGTTTTATCCCCCAAGTCTAAATGGCTTTATGTAAGACACTGGTCTTTGTGATTCACAAAAAGTAGGTGTCAATTCCTGAACACAAACTGAAATGACAGGAGGAATTTTCAATGCTATTACAGCCATGAATATGAACCCTAATCTAATAACCTGTCTTCATCAATTCCTCCTCATTTCATCTTTGTGAAAGAGGGGAGGGAGAGGGGAAAGGGGGGGAGGCCAGGCCAGGCTACTCTGTTCTGTAGCAGCTATTCCAGTGCCAAGAACAACAAAATACAAGTATTCCTAAGTGCTCAAAACATTAAAATCTAAATAAGAAAACTAATTTCCTAACATATATATGGCAAATATATTGTTGACCATATAATGATACACTATATATGACAGTATAATCTAGTGTTTCTATTAGCAGGTTCTGTGACAAAGTGCCTGATTTTGAAATCTGGCTCAATTTATCAGCTGGGTGACCTGGGCAAGTTACTTTACCTCTCTGGGCCTCAATTTCCTTGTCTCTAAAATGGGAAAATGATATCTTCCTCCATAGGGTTGTTGTGCTGGTTAAATACGACATAGGTGCTTAGAAAACTATCTCACACATAGAATATACAAAATAAATGTCAGCTGTTGTTATTTTTATAGAGGCAAGAGAAACAAGAGGCTTAACTGCAGAAAATTTCATAGAGAAATAGTTAAAACAGAATTCCAAAATTCACACGCAAAGTCCTTTATATCAACTTCTAAAGTTGTGTTGAGCCCTGGCTGGAATGGCTCGGTGGATAGAGCATCGGCCTGTGGACTGAAGGGTCCCGGGTTCGATTCCAGTCAAGGGCACATGCCCGGGTTGTGGGCTTGATCCCCCGTAGGGGGCGTGCAGGGGGCAGCCAATCAATGATTCTCTCTCATCATTGATATTTCTCTCTCTCTTCCTCTCCCTTCCTCTCTGAAATCAATAAAAAGATACTTAAATAAAAATAAGTAAATAAATAAAGTTGTGTTGAAATGCAAGCATTTAATGAAGGGTAATGTTATAATCTTGAATACAGTTTTGGGGATCATACAGGCAGCCTCCTCCTGTCCCCTCCTCTACCATTCATTTCCCACCTTCCTCGGAGCCCAGGCATCAGCTTCTCACTCAACTGAATCCCTTCCATGAAATAAATTCTTAACGTTTAACAATACACAAAAAGCAAAGCATTTTTTTTAAAAAAAGCAAAGCATTTCTAAGTCTAGCAAAGCAACCACTAATATACCACTACAGCAAAATGCTTTTATTTTAGCGTCAATAAAACTCCAAAATTCACAAGTGAGTCGAGGTGTACTGTGGGTCAGAATGGAATGGGTGGAGGAAGGAGAAGAAAAAGAAAATGGCCAATAGGAGGAATACGAGATTTCGGAGAGCTGTGGACATTAATTTCTGAATATGTCTCCTTTCTCCCTACTATATCTGTAAGGGCTTTTCTCACATATCTTTCAATCTACATACAGTGGGGCCTTGACTTACGAGTGTCCCGACTAACGAGTTTTTTGAGATATGAGCCGTCTCTCGGCCGATTTTTTGCTTTGAGTTGCGAGCTAAAATTCGGGTTACGAGCCAGCTTCAGATACCCCACCACTAGTTGGCGCAGCGAACGTCACAGTGAACGCCACAACATCAGCTCAGCATCACGTGTCTCACTCGTTCACTTTTTGATTTGACATACGAGTAATGTGAGTTACGAGCTCCGTCACGGAACGAATTAAACTCGTAAGTCAATGCCCCCCTGTATATAAAAGCCTAATATGCAAATTGTCCCCTCGACCCAGAGACCAGGAGATTGATCGCTCGCTATGCCGTGCGCTGACCACCAGGGGGCGGCGTGGAATGAAGGAAGGCCCTAACCGGCCCTGATTGCAGGCCAGGCCTTAGGGACCCTACCGGTGCCTGAATTTCATGCACCGGGCCCCTAGTAACATATAAAAGTAAGTCACTGCTAGCTTTAAAACACAAGAGTTTGGTAAAATTCATTTTCTGAAACTTTCTGGCTCCGTTAATTTGTCACGTTAAAGCCGCTCAGCATTAAAAAAACACACAAAATAAAGACATTGCTGTTAGTTGTGGTTGATGTGCTTTTCCTGTTACCAACAAGCTGCTCACCTGGCAATTGTTCTCTCAGAGTCAATGAGGCATACAGACCATCCACCTTCTCTTCCTACAATGACTCTCCTTAGCAAGAAAAGCCAGAGCCCGCCAGGGTTCCAAATGGTAGGCTTTCTCTCCAGAAAGCCAACGGGCACTTGAAAAGCACCCTGCACTCTCAGCTTATTCATTCTTCCACTAATCTACACTAAATCACAGACGGTTTAAAAAACAAACAAAACACCAAAACACTGTTTCTTAAAAATAGGAATCTCCTTATTACCACCCCACCCCCTCAAACCAATACTCTACACCAGCGGTTCTCAACCTGTGGGTCGCGACCCCTCGGGGGGGTCGAACCACCCTTTCACAGGGGTCGCCTAAGACCATGGGAAAACACATATATAATTACATATTGTTTTTGTGATTAATCACTATGCTTTAATGATGTTCAATTTGTAACAATGAAATTACATCCTGCATATCAGATATTTACATGACGATTCATAACAGTACAAAATTACAGTATGAAGTAGCAACGAAAATAATTTTATGGTTGGGGGTCACCACAACATAAGGAACTGTATTAAAGGGTCGCGGCATTAGGAAGGTTGAGAACCACTGCTCTACACCAAAGGTGTGTCCCCAAGCAGCGTCCTCTCCTCTCTTACAGCCTTGGGGGGGCCTCTGGGGAAAGCACACCTGGGTCGGCAGTTTCCTGAATCCTGTCTCTTTAAGACCCCACCTCGGCCTTCCAGGCAGGTGGTCAGCAGCGAGCGGGCTCCGTGGGGGCCGGCGGGATGCCCACCCGAGTTACTGAACAGAGGACGGCTGACGCTCACAGCTACTCTTCATTAAACCCCTGCGGGTGGGCACTCCGCTGAACGCCGCCAGCT